CGAGGAGGAGCCGGACGGCGCCCCCGAGAAGGGCCGGAGCTCGGGCCCCAGCGCCAGGAAGGGCAAGGGGCAGATCGAGAAGAGGAAGCTGCGGGAGAAGCGGCGCTCCACCGGCGTGGTCAACATTCCCGCGGCGGAGGTGAGCGGGCGGGCCGGCGGGGCGGGCCGCCGCCCTCTCGGGGCTTCCACCGAGGGCACCCCGGGCCCGGAGTTTCCCCGCGACTCGGGCTCGGATCGTTTCACCGAGCTAGGCAGCAGAGGGTGAGAGGGTGATGGAGGTTTACTTTGAGCAGATGCTTCCTGGGAAGTTCCCTAAACCCAGACTGGGACACGTGCTTTTCCTAGTTTCCTGGCTGCGGTCGCAGATCCTGGGCATTACTGTGGAGCTGCTAGAAAGACAGCGTAGGACCTTACGTAGGTAGCTTGATCAGTTGGGAAAATTGATTAATAGCGATGACGACATACTTACTTTCTCACTCTCTCAAGTTATCACATTATATCCTGTTATGTCTAAGTACCTGCTAAGAAAATGTACCTGGAGCAGTGTCCGAGACAGCTTTGTCTTGGGTCGAACCCGAGATGCGACCGCCCAAATGAACATACACACTGTGTTAGTACGTAGTGCTTCCCAGGACAGACACAAGTTTTTTCTGAGTCATACTCTGGACAATAGGGATGCTGGATCAGCTTACAGTTTTGTTTGCTTAGATCTGTTCTTGTGCTTAGTATCTGGAAAACATTTGTGGTAGACGTATTTTTGTATGTTTTTGGTATTTTTGAGCCGTCTCAAAACATTTCTGTAGGCAGCAGCATCCAATTGGATGACTGGTAAAAAAATTTTACTTAGTGTATAATTGCACCTCCATTTATGTGAAACAAAACGATTCCAAACAAGTTTGAGTTACTTTAATCGTACCTCGCTGTGCATGGGAAGTGGTTCAACTATCTTTCCCCCCCCAAAGTAGCTGCATCTTTTTCTCACTGGCGCTTTAGAGTTTTCTTTTTTCCCAGTACTCTTAGCCTTCTAATTTACTCAACTTTGCTACCCACTGTATAAGCTATTAGGAATTTCCTAACTTTAATTATGGCTTAAGTAAAAACACTCACATTAAGCTAAGTAGTAGCTTTTGGTGTTAAGTTGAGGCAATATTAAATAGACCTCAACCTTTAAGTATTAATTTTTTCCATATGTGAAAAATCAGAGTGTGTCTCTGTAGGGTGTATTTTAGTATGAATGTTTCTGAGAGATTTTTATCAACCACCAGAACTGTCCTCTGTGGTTTGCTACTTCCCATAAAATATGTTATTCATTAAATTGTTTTAAAAGGAATTCGTAAGAGTGGTAATCAAATTTCCAGGTTTTTTTTTTTCTTAACTTAGAAATATGAAAATTAAGGGGAAATTGAAGACAAGGGTTTGGAAAAATTACATTCCTCAACTTTATTTTTAAAAGTAACTTACGGTCTAAATAAAAGAATTTATCATTTTCAGTCTTTTGCACATTGTTCATCTGACAGGGGTCTTATTTTGGGAAATATCTTGGCAGATGTTAAACTTCACTTTTGGCTGCTTGTGCTAAAATTATTTTTCAAATACTTTTAAAAAACCAAGAGTAATGTTTACTAGGGGAAATAAGTAGGGTGTATCTTGTGAGAGCCTAAGAAGCATCCTTTGTTACTACTGCTGCTTTGATTGAGGGAACATAGTGCTGAGAATGTAGATGACTCCCCACTACAATTGAGTCTAATACTCTGGAATGTTTTTCGTTCGGGTGTTGGCAACTCCTAAATTTAATTTTCCTTAAAAACAAACAACCCAAGGTACCATTTTTTTTTGCCTTTGGAATTTGAACCTTTTTTATTGAATAGGGAATTGAGAAATGTTTTTTTTAGGGGTAACTCGCTTTATCTGTTTCGAGGTGTAGGACCCAACAAAACGTAAATACTTCACCACCCTACTGTATCTAATTAGTGAATATACTTTTTCACTGCCTTCCTACCATATTTTCAGTTCTTTGAAAAAGGTCTCCAAGTTTGTTTTAATAGTGATAAAACATATGTTGCAAAATTGTGCTGGTGAACCATTTTCACTTTAAATTGTTGGGTTTTTAGAATTGTATACCATTTCTCCTGGTTTTCAACAGTCATAATGTTCCTTGCCGTGGAATATTCAGTGTGATAGAATTTAGCGCTCTTGTTTGAAAAGAAGCTTTTCAGGTGTTAAAAATATTATAAAAGGGTGGAAATCATCGATCAAGAGTCAAAAATACACTTACAGTTTAATAGCATTTTTACTTTAGGATAGTATCTCCAACCAAGTTTTGCCTCTTTGAGTTGTTGATAAACAGCTTCCTTCAAGAAGTATATATTAATCAACTGTGTGACTTATTGTGGCTGTCTTTCACTCATTTTATTAGAGAATATTATATAACGTTGTAAAGGTATGTGACAGCGCCTAAAGATAGCAAAATCAAGTAGGAGATAGTTTTAGAAGGAGGCAGGTTAAAAATGAAAATTGGCTGCTGGAGGGGAGGCTGTAAGGTGAGCACTGTATGTGACTACAAGTACAAACATTCATATGCTCTTCAGTGTGAGGTAAACTTTAGTTCTCATTTATTAGAAGAATTTTAGAAAACTTTTTTTTCTGAAACTTTACTGTTTTAATTTTTTGGATAACAGCCTGAACTGGATAATTTGGATGTGACAAATCCTGTCAATAATTTTCATCAGATGAGACAAATGTTGATTACATGTCTGTTTCCAGTACCCTTGTACTAAGCACTGGAGAAAATAAGAATAAGGCAGTATATATTCTCACCCAGCAAAGCAGTAATCTAGAAAGAAATATAAGGCATAATTACATGAAAAGTCTAAAGTATTGAGTTAACAGTTTCAAAGCAAATGTAAAGTAGACTGTAAGGCATTATTTATTAAAAATACTGTGTGTTTATGGGTTGAGTGTGGTGGTGCACGCCTGTAATCCCTGCACTTGGGAAGCTGAGGCAGGAGGATCATCCTGAGTTCCAGGCCAGCTTAGGCTACATTGTGAGTTCAAGGCCGACCTGAACTACGTAGCAAGACCTTGTCTTGCCCCCGACTGTGTATAAAGGCATGACTGGGCTGGGAGCAGCTGTAAGGGACGAGAGTCTTGAGTAGAGTCACATATTTCTGTATATATTTATGCCGACATCTTCATGCATATGTACATACAGTGTTCTAAGTGTCAGAGTGCAGTGGTTCATAACTTTGGGAGCACATTGATGCTATGTGCAAATTTTAAAGAAATCCTCCCTCATGCTGATTTCCTTTTCTTCTCCCCCAGACCTTATGATTTAATGGGTCTGGGTTGGATCCCAGATGTTAATATTTTTATAAGCTCTCCATGTAATTTTAATTTGAGTCAGAGTTAAACTATTAGGCTTTAGTCCAGGGATACAGAAATGAATGCGGGCATTGCCTTCCAGGTACTCTTAAGTAAAAAAATCAAGTATGATAAGTAGAGTGAAGAGTACAGCCCAGCCAGTCCCTGAGCAGGGTCCCTGACTCAGACAGGGGGTGTAGTTGAATATTTTCTGGACAGTTGTGCTTCTCTTTTCAGAGTGCTTATGATCTTGTGCTCTTGAGAAGGTTTGCTGAATGAATTAATGGTGATGACTACCGTAGAATCTGTAATATTTCAGTAGGTTGGGATAGCACTGAAATTTTGAGTTAAGAATGAAAGTTAGCAAAATTAAAATTGTGTTTGTGTACTGCTGGACTAAATTGCTTTATGTGCTGTCTTTTTTTTTTTTTTTTTCCCGGTACCGGGAATCGAACTCACGACCTTGCGCTTGCCAGGCAGGTGCTGTGCCACTGAGCTAAATCCCCAGCCCCTATGTGCTGTCTTAATGCACATTATAATCTCCTGTGGTAGTTACTTTTTTTGGAGTTACTTTTTTTAATGGAGAAAGTGGAGGCCTAAAGTTCAAATCACTCAAGATCACCTAAGCATAAATATGTATGATTATTATGTGTCAATTAAAAAAATCTTATAGAAAATAAGGTACAGAGCAGTATTTCAAATGTTTTTGTAGTTTTTTTGTGTATGTATGCCTCTGGGAAAAGGGGCTTTTAAAAGAACCTACTTTATATTACTTAATATATTTTTTGTTTTTTAAAATATTTTATTTAAGGTTGTGAATAATTTAAACTTTTGAATGAAGTGAAAATATGACCTTGGGTAGAAATTAAAATCATATTTGTAGGCTCAGATTAGTTTTTGACCCTGTAATGCATTGTTTGCTTGGTAAAAATTTGAACATTGTGCCACTAGCAAAAGTAAATTTAATTTTGGCTAGAGGTTGACAAATGTGGATTTTGCATTTACTTAAATGATACATGTTTTTCTGTCAGGATGGGCTTGCTATTCCGCAACTTGAAATTAGGATGGCAGAAGAGAAGATTAGAGGGCATTTAAAATATAGAAAATACTTTCATGCAACTATAACCTAGATCACAGTTATTCAGTGTATTTATTGAATATTGCATACGACATAGTCTACTTAAAAAACTTTATAAATCCAGGTAGATTAAGAAATGCATTTTGGTATTCCCATTATGTTGCAAACTGTTTACCTTAATATGTGATGAGTCAGGAGAGAAACTGAAAATGATTCAGAGCTGGAGAAAATTTGACTCGTGAATGAGATAGTATAAACAGACTGCTTATTAAGAATTAAGCCCCACTTTCTCAAAGACCTACCAAAATACTTTTATTTTATCTTGTTAAAGTGAAATTTTAATATTATCAAGATTTGTAATGAATTATTTGAGGTGGGGTATTTCTTATAACAAAAATAATGTAGATGACATTGATGGTCTGCTTACAAACTTCTAGGTACAGTTGTGGGCGCTTTCCATAGAATGGTACATTTAATTATCATTACACTAAAGAAAACTGTGCTAAGAAGATAGTTACTTGACTGATGTTAAATGTGTAGAAAGAAGAGTTAAGAGTTGGTTTCAGAGTCTGGTGCTTAATAACCATTATGATTTTTGGTTTTGATTTGATTGTGTATGCATGTGTGTGTGTGTGTATGTGTATGATGCATTATGCATTCCAGGCAAGTGTTCTAGTGCTGAGCTACACACCCTGACCTTT